TTTGCAAGGCTTGAATGACCCGGGTCTGGAATGACCCTGGTCAGACGATCCCCGAAGATCTCATGGCGCCCTTTTTTCTTTTTCCCTACCTAGGCTCTGCCGAGAAGGGTTCTTACTCTCTTAGCTTAAAGGGGCCGGGCAGTGTAACACGCCCCGGGCGGTTCCCCCGGTCCCCGCCCCGCGGTTCCCCCAGTTGCGCCCCCTGGGTTCACCCAGCTTAGCTTAGCTTCAGCTTAGCTTTAGCTTAGCTTTAGCTTAGCATTAGCTTAGTTTTAGCTTAGCTTTAGCTTAGCTTTAGCTTAGCTTTAGCTTAGCTTTACCTTAGCTTCAGCTTAGCTCTAGCTTAGCTGTAGCTTAGCTTCAGCTTAGCTTCAGCTTAGCTCTAGCTTAGCTCTAGCTTAGCTTCAGCTTAGCTTCAGCTTAGCTTCAGCTTAGCTCTAGCTTAGCTTTAGCTTAGCTCTAGCTTAGCTTCAGATTAGCTTTAGCTTAGCTTTAGCTTAGCTCTAGCTTCGCGTTAGCTTAGCTTCAGCTTAGCTCTAGCTTAGCTTCAGCCTAGCTTTAGCTTAGCTTTAGCTTAGCGTCAGCTTAGCTTCAGCTTAGCTTTAGCTTAGCTTCAGCTTAGCTCTAGCTTAGCTTTAGCTTAGCTCTAGCTTAGCGTTAGCTTAGTGTTAGCTTAGTTTTAGCTTAGCTTTAGCTTAGCTTTAGCTTAGCTTTATTTTAGCTTTAGCTTAGCTTTAGCTTAGCTTTAGCTTAGCTTTAGCTTAGCTCTAGCTTAGCTTTAGCTTAGCTTTAGCTTAGCTTTAGCTTAGCTTTAGCTTAGCTTTAGCTTAGCTTTAGCTTAGCTTTTCTGTTACTACTAATGCTGCTTTCCTAGGGGCTCCAACTCCTAGGTAGGGTCGCACTGGGATAATTCTTTTTCTTTCCAAGCGCCCCCTGGTGCCCCCCTCGTCCGTGCACATGCCGCGGATGGATCGTGATGGGCTGCGTGCCCTTCCTCTTCCTGGCCCCCCTCTTTGGCGCACCCGCTGAGCGAAGGGGGGGGTTCTGCACCTACGGTCGGCCCAAGATATAAGATCGAGGTCGGTTCGGGGAGGGTACCCTAATGTTCTTCGTGTTTGTTGGATGTTTTTGTGCATCCTGGGGGAGGGTACCCTCGGTGATCTTATGGTTTGGGGTGTTTTGGCTGGCGGCGGGTCTAACGTTCTTGAAGGATGTTCTTCTGTCCTAGGTCCGGCCGTACGAACCCGTTTCAAGTCGCAGGCGTGGTGGCCAGCCAGGATCCCATTCGTTGTGTAGTGCCCCTGCATCGCTGCCACGCTGGAGCGGAACGTCCCGCCCCGCGGCCGGCGGAAGAAAAGTGGGCCGGCCAGGGGCGAGCAGGCACGAGCTGCGCGTTGAAGTGCTCCTTCTTCTCCTGCCCAGAGCTGCCTCCCGAGGGCCAGGGGCGGGGGCCGCGAGGGGCCCAGCAAGGGAGGGCCGTGCGGCATCGTTGGGGGCCCAAGGTTGGCTCGGGATGCAAAGGGGAGGAATCCCAGCCAACTTCTGCGGAGTCCAACCAGCTGGAGCGAACTTCAACCAGCACAAGCACCCAAGCTGGCACAAATCCATCTCTGGCAAGTAGCTTGACAACACGGATCTACTGACGAATCTCGCAAGTGGTAATCAAGATCCGAACGACCTCCCTACATGTATGGTTTTGTTTGAAAACTTAACGTGGGCGCCCCGGTTGGAACCGGTACCCAAACGGGCGTCCTTGTGATAACACTCTGACGGTGTTGGTGAGATACGAGCCAATTGAATACAACGCACTCCAATGCAATGGACAGCAATGCAGGGCAGCACAGGATGCAATGCAACGCCATGCAAACGCAAAGCCGCGCTATGCAATGCAATGGATAGCGATGCAGCCGCCAATCATCGCAATGAAGCGTATTGGAAGTTGATACAACGTTGCGGATCACATTGCGAATGATGTTATGCATATTATTGCATAACAACATCAGAGTGAGGGGGCCGAATGGTCATTCACTGTCCCTGGGTGCGTGGCTGAAGTGGAATTCCGCGGTGCGGATTATTGTTGTTGTTGTTGTTGTTGTTGTTGTTGTTGTTGTTGTTGTTGTTGTTGTTGTTGTTGTTGTTGTTGTTGTTGTTGTTGTTGTTGTTGTTGTTGTTGTTGTTGTTGTTGTTGTTGTTGTTGTTGTTGTTGTTGTTGTTGTTGTTGTTGTTGTTGTTGTTGTTGTTGTTGTTGTTGTTGTTGTTGTTGTTTGTTGTCGTCGTCCCACCCGCAACCCGCCCCGCGACCCACCCGCGACCCACCCCGCGACCCACCCGCGACCCACCGCGACCCACCCGCGACCCACCCGCGACCCACCCCGCGACCCACCCCGCGACCCACCCCGCGACCCTCCCGCGACCCACCCGCGACCCACCCGCGACCCCCCGCGACCCACCCGCGACCCACCTTCGACCCAAACCACGTTCAAGGTACAAACCACCATTTTCGGCGCCTGCGGCGGGCTTTTTTTGCATCCCTTCCAGGTTGAGAGCCCGCGACCCACCCCGTGACCAACTCGCGACCAACCCGCGATCCAAACCACGTTCAGGGTACAAACCACATTTTTCGGCGCCTGCGGCGGGCATCTTTTGCATTCGTTTCACCCGCGACCACGCTCAGGGTACAAACCTATTTTTTCGGCGCCTGCGGCGGGCATCTTTTGCATTCGTTCCCGGTGGAGAAGCCGCGGCCCACCCCCGACCCAAACCACGTTCAGTGTACAAACAATTTCTTTTGACGCCTGCGGCGGGCTGCTTTTGCATTCCCTCCAGGTGGAGGTGGAGAGCCCGCGACCCACCCGCGACCCAAATCACGTTCACTGAACGAACCAATGCCGCACAAGCGCGGCGGCGGATTTTTGCATGCCGTCTGAGCCCGCAAGGACCTCTTCAAGCCCCGCGCATCCACACCAGCCCGTCCAGCGACTTTGCCCTGGCGAGTTGCCTTGATCAGAGAAGTCGGGGAGCATAAAGTGGAAAAAGGATTGCGTTGCCGTTATCTTGGGAAAGGAGGGGGAGGCAGGATGAGTAAACAGGGGACGAGGAGGACGCGGAAGAAGAGAGGATGTAAGGAGAGCGTGTAGAAAGAGGAGGAGGAGGAGCAGGAGGACAAGGAGGGGAAGGAGGGGGAGGGGGAGGAGGAGGGGGAGGAGGGGGAGGAGGAGGGGGAGGAGGGGGAGGAGGGGGAGGAGGGTGATGATGGACGACAATGGGAGGACGATGATGGAGGCCGATGAGGGGGAGGACGACAATGGGCGGACGATGATGAAAGGACGAGGGGGAGTGCTACGTAAAACTACACATGCTACGCAACCCGACGCAATGCACGTTAACAACAGTATGGGAACGCAGGAACAACCCGACATTTATGCAACAGCAATGTACAGACGATGGAGCAGCAATGCGAACGCAATGCAACAGCTATGCGCACATACAGGAACGCAAAGCAAACCACGTGTATAAACAATGCAACGGAAAGAACACAAACAGAAAACAGCCAACGCCAAAAACAATTCACAACCACATACGGTGCAAACGCATAGCGGCAGCAACGCAGACGCATTGCCAAATGAATGGCAGATCAATGCGAAACCCAGTTGCGAAACAGTATGGATTGGTGTTTGGGGCGAGTATGACAAACATGCGCGAAGGCATGCAACAGTCTGGTGCGGCCTGGAAGTGCAACGGGGTGCGCCTAACTGTTGTACGCAATGCGGTGGTACGACTTTTGTGGCATGGCATGCGCTGTTGTACCGTTGCAAATACGCTTCGTTACGCCATGGTGTGCAAGGCTACGCGGTGCTACGCTCTATGATGCGGGATGTGCTTTGGGATGTCGCGAGGAGCGAGGGCCCAAGCGTTTTGGAATAGGCAGCGCAAGCGGAGCTACGACAACCTCCTGATTGCACTGAACAAGTCGAGACCTGTTATGCGGCTTGCCGCGTGGTTTAAGAAGAGGCCTCGAGCGAAGTTGGGAGCCTGGGCTTCCCGCGTCATGTTGCCCTCTCGGGAGCCTCTTGGACCGTCTTGTAGAGGATTCTGGATCGCGCCCAGCTAGTCGAAATTCTTCAAGACATGTTTGGTTGTGGTCTGCAATTGTTCAAGTAGCGACGTAAAGCGATGTAGAGCCAAAGGGTGCCGAGGAGCTTTTAACTGACCTCACTGTCCCCTCGCGACTCTGGAAGTCCGCGTGCCAAAATGATCACCAAAGTTCCAGCATCTCATCGGCTGCAACCCGCGCTGTTCGGCAATATCACAGACAACCTCAGCAGGGTTGTTTCGAGCACCGAGGGGTTCTTCAAGATTCCAAAGGACTCCTGCGCGATGAGTTGCGGATTCTTGATTCCCAAGAGAGTTCTCTAAGTGTTCCCGCAGCGGTTCTCCATGGAGTCTTGATGCGGTCTCAGCTGCGAACCACAAGTCTCTCTAAAGGTCGCAAGATTTTCTTGAGCAGCCGCAAGGAAACTTGAATGACACAGCGGATCTTCAAGGACACGCAAGGGATACTCTACTAACTGTTTGGCATCGTTATTTTGTTAGATTGGTCTGCAGACGCGATCAATTCTGAATGCCGTCTCTCCTTGCCCACTCCCTCTAAGTCGCGTGCGCGTCGCATTCGCTATGTGGCAGGCATTGTACAGTCATGTTTTCGCGTGTAGCCGTTTTGGTTTTGCGATTCTTGACAGTGGTAAGCGGAGCGTGGTTAGTGAAGGTCTTCGTGAAGGTATGGTGTTAGATCTCTCCCGCTCCAGGGCACCGGCCAGGACAGCTGGCAACAACAACGACGCTGGAATCTGAACGACCTAGGGAAGATCAGATTCAAGGACATCGGGCCCGTGGCCCCACGGGCCATGGAACGTTCGAGACTACCGGCGAAGGCGAAGCAGACCAGCATCAAGGGCAGGCAGGGGAACCTCTAGCGGGCGGAGAAGCCGCCTGCTCGACAGGACCGAAGCTAGAGACGGGCAAGCCCGAGGACGACGAGTGGTGGAGCTCCAGGGGCTGGGGCTGGATTGCCAAGCTAGCGCGGGAGTTGTCTCCGAACTGGTGGCGGAGTTCGAAGAGGGAAGACGACGGCGCTTCCTGGAGGTCCGGAGACTGGGAGAAAGTCGGCGACGGGAAGGACACCGTGTCCGACAGTTGCAGGCCCAAGGATGAGCGAGGAGGCGACGACTCCTGGCGGTCGCCTTCCTGGCGGAGTACCTGGTCTCAATCGCCGGAAGAGAGGTCAAGGAACCACTCGGCCCCGCCCGCGTGGCCGGGCACGCAGCGCCTGGACATCTACGTTCACAATTTGCGCGCCTGGGCGCGCAGGACAGCATTCAGCACTGATCTACGAGCTGATCGAGTGCTCGAGACCCTCCCTCTCGACCTGCAGACTAGGTGGCTGAGTGCAAGACAATCAGGCTATCGCTCGCCGCTGAGTCGGTCGGGCGTCGACATGATAGTGGAACGCTTGACTCTTCTCTCGGGCGAGCGTCCAGGAGACAAGGATCGGCAGATGCAGAACGAAGCTTTGCTCGATTACGTTATCAACGACGGGGGAAGCATCGCGGACTACGTCATCCGACGCGACGGACAGACTTTGCAAGCAGAGACCGCTGGGCTGACCCTCGCGGACTCCATCGAGGCCCGATACTACGAGGAGGGAGCGATGCTCCCCAATCGCAACAGAATCAATTTGGCCACGTTCGCCGCCGGCAAGAAGGACTTCGCGCCCATGCGCTCGGCGTCTCGACTGGACAGATGGCTCTGCCTACCGCGGCTTCCTCTCCCAGGCCGCAGGAGCGCAGGGCGTTCATGCAGGGCCGCGACGTCGATGCGGACTCCGAGTCGAGCCCAGAGGCGTGCGCAGGTATCCACGAGACAGAGTTCAGCGAGTCGGAAGCCGAGGGTTTCCTGGTGGCCCTCGACCAGCAGGACTTTCAGAAGACGAAGCATATCACACGTTTGCCCAGCTCGTCGAGACGAAGAAGAAACGCGCTTGGAAGGAGTCAAAAGAAACGAAGAATGTTCGCCGGATAGGCCGTGATTTCTTTGATAGTTGCCGCAAGAAGATCAACGGGGGCGAGCTCAAAAGAAGGTCACGGCGCACGAACTGCGGCCAGAAAGGTCATTGGAAGGAAGCTTGCCGCAACCCGTACAGGTCGAAGGAGGATCGCATCAAGGAGCAACGGAAGCCAGCTCAGAAGTGCGCCCTGGTTGACACGGCTGCTGGATCCGCGCTCGTCGGCTCGAGCATCTCCGGAATGCGCTGACTCATTCGGGCTGCGAGGTTCATGTTTCATACGACGACGTCGTAGCGACGTGGCCGATCTTCCTCCAGCATGCGGAGTGGGAGGGGAGGTCAAGCCGGTGGGGCGAGCGTCAGTTCTAGTAGCGATGTGCGGCTGCGGGGTAGTTCAATTCCTGGCATTACCTCGCGCGCGCCCCCTGCTTCCACCTGCAAAGTTTCTGGATTTTTTGAAGGCCGGGGTCGACATGCATGCGGGCAAGATGTCGGTCGGAGATGGCGAGGGGCGCAGGGGCCTTGAGCTGCGCCGACTGCCATCTGGACATCGCGCCGTTTCACTCGTAGGCTGCCCACCCGAGGACTTCAGCCCCAGCGACGACCAGGCTCGCCGCTTCCCGCCCGTCGTCTTTCAGGACAGAAGGGAGGGGCAGGGCGCAGCAGTTGCCGGCCAGAGTTCCCCTTCTCTTCCCCCGCCTCTCCTGTCTCCACAGCGGGTCCACGGATCGGGGGGCGCAGATGGGTTGTCTTCTTCTGTCTCCTTGGCTACTCTAGGCTCAAGCCGGGCCAGCGATCTGGAAAGTCAGCTTTACACATCAACTCAGAGCCTTGCTTGGGGTCGGTGGAAGACGCCGCCTCGCACGATCAAGAAGCCGATCCAGGCGGGGAATCATCTTCTGCACCGAGGTCCTCGCTTTCTCTCGGCTCTTGAGACGCCGGACGAGCAGACTCGCGACGGGTCGCTCCGCGGCGGAGGAGGACGAGAGTTCTGATCTCGAGATGGCCGAGAACTACGAGGTGGCCCCAGATCCCTCGCGCAAGGCGGAGCTTCAGCACATCCAGCACGACGAGATGCTCGACTCGGCGGATCTGGAGATGTTCCACGAGGGTCGCTACCACTTCGAGAAGGGATCGACGGCCTGGCGCAGTATCTTCCTCAAGACGATCATGTTCATCAACGCGCGCGCCAACTCTTGGATCATTGTCGCTTCGTCTCCAGCTGTGGATCCGGATCGGTTAGACGAGGGCGCTTCCACCAAGGATCCCAGCGTCGTCGTCTCCGTTGTCGTCGGCGTCGGCGTCGTTGTCGTCGTCGAAGTCGTCGGAGACGTTGTCGGTGTTGTCGTAGTCGTTGTCGTCGGTGTCGTCGTAGTCGGTCTCAAGAGGTTTTGCAAACCAAGTTGCGGGTGGATGGGTGGGGTGTTTGCAAGAGCGTGGGATGTGTCAATTCATGGGTAAACATCACTTGCACAACGTAGACTGCGCCGTGCAAAAAAAAGCACCACATCGGTTCTCTTGGAAAAAGGAAATGGGTCCCCCCCCGGGGATTATCCCTCCGTCTGGGGGACGTGCAACTTGAATAGGATTCTTCCCCATCGTTCATTTTCGATCTGAATTCACACCCTCCCCCCCCCATTTCTTGCAACACGCAGTATGCGCGCGGACTCGTTTATCGAAAACCATCCATGTTCAAAAACCCCTTAAGCCGTCACGCTCGCGCATGCCGAAATCCTTCAAACACCTGTTTCGGTGCCATACGGATTTCAAAATCAATTCCCCCGAAAGCATACAAAAACACATGTTTGGGCAACATGCTTGTTCGAAAAAGTTTGCGCGCGCGCCCTTGCAAAATCGTGAGAAGACCAGCTGTTCCTCAACATGTTCATCAAATGCGACCCGAATCCGACCAAATGCGCTTTTCGCGCGCGCATGTCGAAATCATTCGAACGTCTTTGCGCGCGTGCCAGGGGGGGGGCACGGCCCCTGTCAAATATTACCATGCGGGCCAGTCGCGCGCGTGGTCTGCGCGCGCATGTCGAAATCCTTTTGTTTACCGCTGTCGGTGTCGCCACGATACTGCGTCCGCCCAAGTCACCGAGTCGTACTGCAGCGCCCGTGTGCCATCGCGGCGTGCGAAATGCGCCGGGAAGTGCCCTGCGGTCAACGCCACCGCGGCCGCGCCAGTCCCGACAAACGAGCTGGCCGTTGTGCGCGCGAGCCTGCGCGCACTAGCGTGGCCAGAGCCAAGCGCCAAGCGCTCATCGCAATCGCCGCCGCGTGGGTTTTGCAAACCACTTTGCGGGTGGGTGTGTGGGGTGCTTGTGTAAGCAGTGGAATTGGCAACTCAAGCTTCTTCGGCATGAATTGTCCCACATAGGTTTTCTCACGCAAAAAGACAATGGGATCTACTTCCCCCCGCCGCAACTTAACGGCCCGCTTTCTGGCATTGCAAAGTACACTTGGTCTTGCGTCATCGCCCACTTCTTATATGAATTCGCACCGTGGCAAGAAGTTCCTTACCGTTCCCCTCATCCATCATCCAACAAGCCATGCGTGCAGACTCGTTGATCAAAAACCGTCAGTTTCCAATCATCCCCAACATCATATGGGGACGAAGTGTACACGTGCGCGTTGTCGCGCGCGCATGCCGAAATCATTCAAAAACTTCCGGCGTCGTAGCGATTTCCAAATCAAGGACCCCGAAACATATAACAAACCACTGGTTTCGCAACTGGGATGTTCAAAAACACTTGCGCTCGCGCCCTTGCGACATGCCGAAACTGCCAGAGCCCGTCCAGGAGCAGGGCCGAGTCCCTGGCACTGCCGGCACTCCTGTTCTCCACCCCACCCCCATCCCCCCTTCCAAACTTGCCTGACCGAGCTCCCCGGGGAGGAGGTTTTGTCGGGGCCGGGAAAAGTAAGACTCGAGTACGCCGGAACTCAGGTTTGCCGACGCTTTTTGATGAGCGCGTCCTGGAATGTGACGGTCCAGTTTTTGTGGGATGTTTGCAGCAGGAGTTCGCGTCAATTTTCAGACTTGGTCTCGTCATTTTCATTCTGGCCCCGTCAGGTCAACCCGAGTCTCCCGAATCCGAGTCTTACGTCTCCTCGAATTTGCGGAGGGCCAGCATTTCACCCGCCGAGTGACCCCAAGGGGTCGGCGGATTTCTTGCAGGGGACATTTTATCCCTGTGCCGATCTGCAGGCTACACTGCATTGGAGGGGCCTGGTCGACCATTACATCCTAAACCACCTCACAGTGAAAAGCAGCATTCCTGGCCGAGGGTTGTTTGGAGAGTCGCAGGCTCGTCCCAGCAGTTCCACCCCACACCTGGCAGCTCACCCAGCTGTCTCCCGAATTCACCAGCAATGCGCACAGGCTCCACCATCTATACCATGTGAGTCGTCAGCGGGTTGGCGATCGCATTCGCAATGTTTCCCCATCCAGCGCAGAGCGACTGACCGCATTGGCACAGTCGTCAGGAGACTTTTGACCATGTCGTTCCACCTTCATTCTCGCTGCGTTTCCATCGCGCAGGTAACATCTACCCCATAGCCACATCGTGCATGCATCGTACCCCATAGCCGCTTCGTACACATCCTCATGAAGCACGTGAACAAATGCCACAAGCATCCAGAGCGCAGTTCATTCCTTGTTTACGTGTGATTGTCCTGCTTATTCGTTATAGGGGAGTTGGGTCAGAGCAAAGAGTGCATGCCTCTGATTTTTGTGTGCCCCAGGATGGGTTGTGGCAAGAAGGTCGCCCCCGGCAAGACCTCCGGCGGGAAGGCCTTCGACACATGCTGCAGGGGCTGCGCCAAGGGCGAGGCCCACTCGCCTGATTGCAAGGGCTGACCCTGCCCTCTTTTCCTCCTTAGGTTCTAAGCTGCCCGCGCTGGCCGAGTCTCAAGCCTGCAGGACAGTAAGCAGGAAGCGTGCGAAGGGAAGGGGAATGGCTGCAGAACAGCCGGCTCCTTTTCTCTAGAGACTAGGCCGAGCGAGATAGAAAAGGCGGAGCGATGGAGGGCGCCGCGTTGCTCCTACCAGTCCCTCAAGGGTCTGCATCCCTCCCAAATCACGGGGGCAGAGAGCCTTTACTGGAGGACGTGTCGGAGTTCAAGGTCATGATGTGATTTCCACGGGACCCGCCGCAGCAGGATGCGGAGGGAGGAACGGCATCCCCCCGTGATCGCGGAGCGTGCGAGAAACGCTAGTGGCTGGCCAGTGGGCTCATCATCATTGTTTTGGGGGGGGCTTGACCCGTCGGTGCCGCAGCAAGGGGGTGGAGAGAGATAGTCAGTGCCGACATTCCTAGATCAGAACATGATCATAATACCCTTTTCGAAGCCGTAACGGAGCACATCATAATGCACATTATTCGGGGTAGACAGGCGGAGCGTGAGAAGTTTCACACAAAGTATGTGCTACACATTTAGGAGAAAAGTTGGAACAACACCCGCAGCGCGATCGTCTTGAATCGTCTACGAAAGGCCATGCCCACGGGAGGATCATTGAGTGAGATATGTTTTTCAATATTTGCAGCGTGTGCAAGTGTGCACCATGGGCCAGGTTATCGATATTCCACAATTTGGCTTGCGCGCCCGGCAACAACATTGAGGCGGACACCATTTGATACCCAGGTGCTCTTCCAAGTCAATCCTTCACTGGGCCGCAGGCATGGGCGGTTCCAGGTTCCAGTTTCGTTCCCCCAGTGAGATGACGAAGAGGTGCCGCGCAGTGATGACGAGACGGTATTCCGTAACAGTGGCAGGCGGACGTCACTTAATGCGACGGGCCCCGCCCGTTGTAATTTACATCGTTTCGGCTCCTATCATTGTGCCGTTCTTGGTATTTGTCACGGGGATGTATTTGCTCTACGTTC